AAATTTTCTGCATACTTGCCACACAATAAATTGAGAATTCTGATGATGACTTTGGCATTTATGTAAATGGTAACAAAGCTTTTCGTAAATTTTTTGATCCTTAATTAAAAAAAAACATGCAAATTCCAGTGAATTTACTGACGACTTCATAAATGAAACTTTTGTTAAATTCTAATTTTAAGGAATTTTTTTTTCAGCCACAGCACACCTTAGGATGTCCAAAAGCACATAGTTTGGACAGCACTGGCATAGGGTACGTACCTCGACTAATTTTAACTTGCATTTTTAGCGCATTTTTGAAACTTGTTTCGAAAAGGTAGCTTAATAATACGCTTTGTTCGGCTGCTCGGGGCAAGAAAAACTTTTTAACCAGACATCGTAGAGAGCTCGGGTTTGTTTTATTAGCTCAGTTCTATCGAGTTATTGGCCGGCCGAACAGTTAAAAGTCTTAAAACATTGTATTTATACTTTTATTAATGATTTTTTATTTCATATGAAAAACACGTGATGGATGCGTTTAGAAACTTGAATTTTTTTCTACCGTTTTAAAAATTGTAATTAGGGTACGTCATTATTTGTTAAATACACTGAAATTTATGATTTTCTAATCTTCTCATGATCTGTAAGTGAGCGCAAAAAAATTACATAATCAAATACTGATCGCTAGCACAATCAAATGCGCTTAAGTGCCTCGATCAATAACACGAGGACTTCTGTAATTTTTTTTAATAATTTGTGGAAACATGTTAACGAATTGGAGTTACTAAAAATCAATTTCTCTTTTTTCTGTTACAAATAGTAATTTGATCCTTAAAAAAATATTGTCTGAATTCTTTTGTGTCTTAAACATTCCTAGAAATTAAATGGCGTGGAATTTCTCCTCCTCATTTTATAACTCATTCCGCGCTTCATAAAGCAATTAAGGTCTGGTCTAAAATTTGTTATTGCGATTTTGACGCATTTTATTAAACAACCATGCTAGCTTTATTAAAGGATATACTGATATATATATATATATATATATATATATATATATATATAAGATATATAAGATATATATATATATATATATATATAAACTTCAACTATTATTTTCACTTAAAATATCTTTAGTATAATTGTCAACCCCCTTCAAACGAGAAATTGGAATCACAGCAAATGAAATGCAAGAGAAAATGAAGTAAGTTGCTTATTTTTCCAATTCATAAGTCATGATTCTTTGTTTTCCGAAAATAATATCAACATTATTTGTATGCATCATTAAATGGTAATATTTAGTCTCACTTACTCTGAGATAAAGAAAATTTCCTCAAAAGCGCTTGTCATTTGGGCTACAACAACGCATTTATTTGATAGTTCCAAGAAGATTGAGGAAAACAAAATGCTAAAAAACATCTTCTTATTTATGTGATAATTGTATTTACAGAAGCAACATTCGAAATATTCCCTTGAGACTTGTTCATGAGACTGACATAAAGTGGACACAAGTATCGTTTACGTTAATAAAAACGTAAAGCTGAAAAAAATGAGTTGTTTTCGTTTTGCCTGAAGTTCAATCACTTGGGTGAATTAACATTGTTTTAATATTAATTTTACACCTACCAAAAACGGAAACCTAAGAAGCAGGAGCAACACGAGCGCTTCAAGTTATATTTATGATAATTAATTGACTATCATTAATGTTTTGTTTTCTATTTAAAAATTAGAAATCTTCTTGATCAAAATATCGCGTGTTGTCGCGAAAAAGGTCGTTGCTAAACGATATCCACAACGAAAAGGCTATTAATCTGAATTTTAAAGCATTTTTTTGTGTTCTAATTCATAGAAAAAAAATAACCAAAAAAGATTGAGACTTTAGTTGTAAGCTCTTAAGTATTATAAATTTCATAAATTATTCTATTGTTTGGTATTATAAAAGTAATTTAATGTTAAAACTTCTAAATTTATATTCATATAAATGACTTTAATTCCCATTCACTAAGGACGTTTAGGCAGATTTAAATGTCAAACATTTATTTTTCTTAGGTAAAATATTTGTCTTTTTAATTCCTTTTTCTCGGTCAAACAGCTTCGAAATTCTATAATAAAAAAAGTCAATAAGAAAATATCTAGTAAAGAAGCCGCCGTTACAGATGTGAACAAACGAACTAAGCGAATTTTCCTCTCATACATCAGTAAAAACCAATATCGAATGCCGACATTATCATATTCCAACTATTGAATGCAAAAAAACTAGAAGTCTCTAAGTACTTATAGTTTTGAATTTTTGAGTCAGCCAACAAACCAAAGTTGATCTTTAAGCGCATTGTTTCCTAATGAAAGTGCGTTAAAAAGTTTGGAACAAATGCTTTTCCATTTCCATACGATACTTTTTTTGTTTAATCTTCTATCAATCTAAATATGGAGGCAATGAAAAGTTTCTACAATACGATTTTTTTTATGGTAAACTTCCTTTAAGTTTGGATGTATGATTTCATCTGTATTTTATTGCTGTATTGATTTTATTCCTTTATGCATACATCAATGTTAAGTAAAAAGCACAGCTGCAGAAAAAGAAATTTATTGTATAATTTAAATACTTTGTGTTAAAAGGTTTGGCAGAAAAATAATACACATGCTTCTTCGTGTCCAGATGGGAGCAGATTAGAACTTGTCAAAAACTGAAACACCAAAAGTTCGCAAATCAAATTTTTGAAGAACGAATTATTCGAATTACAAAAATTGAAACTCAAAATTTTAATAACTGAAGCAACAAAAATTCACATTTTAAAAATGAAAACGAAATGTTAAATTTCATAAAAATCGACAGAAATTTAAAATTTGAAAATCAGCGCGACAAACTTCCTGTAATTAAATTTGAGGCAAAAAATTATCAGGAACAATCAAAAGTTCAAGGAAAGTATCGAAATCGTGAATTTAGGAAGGTTTTGAATCAAACTATTAAGAATCAACTAAGAAACAGCTTGTCCAATTTTTAATCATAGAATTTTTGACAACTGATAATCTTCAAGCACATAACAAAGAACAAGCAAATTAATCAAGCTCTTTACAGATTAACTGCTAATTCAAAGAGATATAGCATAAATCGATAGAATAAAATCGAGTTCAATGTTATTTCTGTTTGTGATTGTGTAGTTTTTATGAGTCAGTCTGTAATTTTTATATCTCGTTCCTTATTTTGTGCATATCCGTATTGACAATTTCCTTAGCAATTTATAGCACAATTTCATAAGTAAGACATATAAGATGATGAACTTCGTATTAGATTAAGGTAAGAACAAGCTTTAAAGATGATTTACTTTTGCGTTGTCAGAGTCATCCCGACAACATTGCAACGATTTAAAAGAAGTAGGCCTCTAGGTGAGTCATATAAAATAAAACCGTTTGAACTTTATTGAGCATATTAAGTGTACATGTATGTACATGATCAAACTTTTTTTATTGTTCATCAAAATGCGATACCTTTTCATTTTTTATAGGTCAAATGATTTGAAATTTTACTATTTTTTTTTTCAACCTTTTTCCGAAATTTGTCATTTAATATTAACTCACATACAGATGATAAAAGAAAATGAATTTTAATCTGAAAACCAAAAGTTAAATATTTTTATCTTTGTTTCATAAAAAGTTCTTACTCATATCATGTCTTCTTGTTGAGGATGTAAAGTTTAAATTAGATTTGAGAAATATTTTATGAAATTTATTAAAAATATCACATGAATATGAAACGTGCTGTTGATCAATCACATCAAGATTTTTTTTTACTGGCAGACTGAGTTTTAGTCGATTTGGAACATGGACAGCAGTTTGACATATGTTGCACAGGTGATTATGCTAATAAATTTGAACATATCAGCGAGAAATTTTTAACATTTTTAGATAATTCGACATTATTCACTGAATCAGAACATAGAACATCATAATGTCAATTATTTCAAGAGCTGATAAGCTGAAAACTTGTGGTACTTGATCATAAATAGAGATTTTTTTTAACTTTGTCCCAATCTTATCCTTTAATAATTCTGCTTTATTTCAATGATTCAAAACTGAAGCGCTTAACACCTCACAATCCTGATGCATCTTCTCTTACTCGAGTTTCGAACTTTCAATTTTTGTGTATTTTCTTAGTACTTTAGACAATTTGAGCTGTATTGTTATGTAAAGTTTTATGTTCAAATCGAAAACATAATGCACACATTAGCATTTTGACACATTCGGAGAAGCAATGTGTCTGAAAAAAGGTTCAGAAACAAATGAAGAACTTGATGGCATGCATGGTAGTTTAAATCATTGTATACAAAATTAAACAGAAAACCCCCAAGAAAGCATGTTAAAATGTTCTGTTGATGAACTTAAACAATAAATTTTAATTATGAACATTTTTTAATTAAAACTATGTAATTTTTCAATTATTCTGTATGCTTTTGCAGGTAGTATGTCTTACAAGCTATTTCAGATTTCAATGTAATTAATATAATTGAGGTAAAGATATACACACTTTTGAGTTAATTATGACATGACTATGTGGCTAGGAATTTGTTATTTGACTCTCTAATCTGAATTCATACATGAACGAGACTTTTTTGGAAATTTCAGACTCTTTCAAAAGTTTTAGTTGAAGTCACCATCTTCCATGTTGATATAATATGTCAGGAATTGCAAAATGTTTGCTAAGCAGGGGCGTAGCCAGGGGGGGGGGGCATAGGGGGCCCGTTTAATTTAACATACATTCCATCTTTCAGTACCTTATGCATTAAATTAAAAGTCTTTCTATTTTTCTTGTTAATATTATTGTGCGGTATTGTGGACATCAACATGTTTATTATTTATGCACACAGCACATCTTCAAGTAACGAAATATGACGGAAATGTACATACAATGCTTGCAATTCGATACGAAAAAGACATTTTTATTATTATTGTGGCTTTTGAACAAAAAATGTCTCTCATTTAGGTTCACATAATTCATGTTAGCTAAAGTGGCAGCAAGTCATCAAAATTTAAACATTTAGTTTTGATTTTAGAGCTTTGAGTTCATCAAAGAATACGAGGACCAGAACGCTATGAGTTCCTAATCTAAGATAATGTGGAAAGAAACCTTTGTAAAGCCCTTTAAAGCCTTCATTTTTAACTGTTTTTATGAAACAGTCAATCACGCCTGTATAATTAAGTCCCTGACCACTAGAATTTGTTCCTTGATTATATAGCCTCGTTGAAATGACATCAGGTGGATGCATAATGATAGTCATAACAGTTCCTGCTATACAACTACTAATAAATGATATGGCTGTTGGATTTAAATTTGTTTTACGTTGCAGGACGTCCTTTGAATATCCAAAAGCAGCAATTTGACTACCTGAACCGAGACATCCTCTTGGAATTACAACTAAAACGCCTCTATACAATCCACTAATGCCATGAGCATTATAAATCTTTTGAAATGCACTGGACATTGTCTGATGTTTATGTTGATATCCAACAGCAATTTCTTTGACTGCAGCAGATTGCAATTGATTTCTTATCATGAAAAATGGACTTGCAATTCCTTGACCGAGCGTTCCGCCAATGCCTCCGAAAAATGCTGACTTGATTATTGACACATCACCATTAGAGCTTCTCGTCCATCCACTTTCATATGCTGTGGTATAAACTCCTAGACTAAATGACAAAGTTTTTTGTAGTTGGATCTAAGTTTTTTTAAAAGAGGAAGTAAAAAGTTTTCGTACCGACATGCATTGAGAATAAATTGAAAGCACAAAGATGCTGATAATCCTTTCTGTAAAGCACTCATGCCATCATGCTTTGCTATTTGAGTTAACCCTTGCAGGAAATTTTTATATGGTTCAATATGATGTCCCTTAGCCTTTAATTCACCTTGCAGCTGAAGTCTTGTTTTAATAACCTTCGGAAAAATTCAATTTTATTATTTTTTTTATATCTCAAAAATTACATTTTTCTTAAATGTTGATATTTACTTCTAAGGGATTAGTGAAGATTGTCGCAATTGACGATGAGAATCCACCTAATAAAATATTTTCCATTGCTTGTCCTTAAATTACTTTTTATTCACTAGTAAATTTTTGGTTTAAATCTTCATATTTCTTAAAAAGTTTAAGTCATCACATATTTCTTTTTTGGTTTGTTTTGAAATAAAAGTTATATTGTTATGAAACTAAATGTGGACAGAAGGCGAAGTTGAGTGGAATCAACGATTTGACGAAAGCCGTTACATGACAAAAAGAAACTAGATTTTAATCGAATTAATGACTGCTTTAGAGAATTACTAAGTTTTTAAGCATCATTATTTGAATTATAAAGCATATTATCGATAATGACGGGTAAAAAACAGCCAATGAGCTGAGTTTTAAGAAAATTAAATTTAATAAAGGTCACTCTCTTTTATAACTTAATTAAGTCAGTCAACTTCATCTTATGTCCAATACATTTTTATCAGTATGTACTTAAAGGTTTTGAAAAAATTAATTCAGTTACTTGGTATGAAAATACTTAATTGCGATGAATGAGATGATAGTCAACGGTAAACCAACTTTCAGTGCAATCTGTAACATTTCGTTTGTGTCATATCCTTTAAGCACATTAGATACGATTGATTGAGTTTGCTTTTCTATCAATAAAGGACGTTTTGTCACCTCCATTGTCTTCATTTTACGATTCAATTCCTTGATTTGATTTTGAAAATTTCTCAAATGTTCAATGGATAGATTCTCTAAAGGATAATTTAATCCATAATCCGTTCTCAATCGTCTTATGTATATCAGTTGGCTTTTTAATGCAATCGTCTGACGTAAGATATTGGCAAATAAGTAGACGAGGTCGACGGGTGAGAGTTGAGATCTAATATTGTCGGGTATGTAAATTGAGTTTTTGGTCCATTTTCCTTTGAATAGCTTATGCAGACCAAGCAAGATGATTTTCCGTTGATATGGTAATGGAATTCCGATTTCTTCAAGCTTCTTCTCATCGATAGTTAAAAATTGTTCCAATGTTATATTTGCTTGTGAAAAATGTGTTATAAATCTCTCAAAATCCATTCCTCGAAGCATCGCTACAATATCTGGAAAGTATGATGGTCTGTGCATGTAAAAGAAATTTGAAATAAAATAAAATAATATTAAATGGAACTCAAACAGATGTTCTTTGAGCTTACATAGGATTTTCACCAAGCGTGTTAGGAACGATTGCATCAAAAGTGTTATAACTGTAATATGACGATGGTGTCTCATACTTGTACTCTTCTAGAGGAAATAATTCCAATATTTCTTTCGTATTGCATTCTTCAGCATATTTCTTTGCAGTTGTTCCATAGCAATCACGGATATCCAAATCAATTTCCAATTCAAAGAGCTTTTTTGCAATATCTATGTTATTTCCTTCAATCGCATAAAACAGCACCTAAATGTGTAATAAAAATCCATCAATGAATGGACAAAAATGATATACTTTTTTTTATGACAGCACTCACGTTACGACCGCTGTTGTTGATGATGTTATATGATTCCCCAACTTTTATCAAGTATTCAATTACACTCAAATGACCTCTTTTTGCTGCCAGCATTAAGGCATTCTCTCCAATGTAATTTGTACAGTTTATGAGTTTAGGTTCCATTTTATGAAGGATCTTGATGATTTTTAGTATTTCATCTGAGTTTTGTGTTGAGGAACAGGCTATCATAAGAGCTGTCTCACCATCAATCCGTATATCTGCATTTACACCTCGTTCTTCAGTTAAGAAATTCACAACATCCGGAAATCCATAAGAACAAGCAAAATACAGCAAGTTCCAATGATCATCAATTGGCGAATCAATGTCAAATCCAGTACGTAAGCCTTTATCTAATGTTTTACGTAGTTCCGATACATTGTTACTCTTTAAATGACTCAACAAGTTGTCACGAAATTCCTCGAATTCACTTTTTTGCACTATTTTTATCGTTTTATTTGTTTTCTCGAAATAATATCCATCAAATTCGTCATAAGCCTCATTCTCTGAGTCTGAAAAACCAGCAGGTAGATATGCAACTGTTGCCATTATCACTTAATTTTAAATAACTTAATTAACACTAATTTTTGTGTGTTCTTAATGCTCTTATTTTTCGTAAACTTTTTCTCCTGATTCAACGGTTTTTGAAATTTTAAATTTTTTCAACGAAAAGTGCTTTGAAATAAAAACAATAACAATACTCAATAAACTTGCAAAATATTATTTATTATCCAAAAAAATTCAATTTTAATTAATTCAAGACATGTTTAATGCAAAGGAGCAACGAAAGAGGCAAATTGATACTCTAAAAGTGTTTAACGATAAGTAAGTATATCAATAAAACATTATTAATACCTGAAAATTACAAAAAGTGAATTTTAGTGTTTCAGAAATTAAAGAAAGTGAAAAATATGCAATTAAGTTCATGTCTGGAAAGAATGAGATATCGCTAGTAATTGAACTGGATCATGATTTTCCTTACAATATTCCTAAGCTATCTGTCGAGCCTAAATTTCAACATAAATGGATAGAAAATGATCAGATAACGAAAGCTCCTGGAATTTTAAATGTAATCAATTAATTAAATTAATTCGTGTAAATTGCATTACTCATAAAGCCTTTGTTCACAGTTTTCAATCAATTCTGATTTGGGGAGAGTATGTCAAGTTATAATTAGAGAGTTTGAGAAGAATCCAGTTCAGTTTCAATCGCAACAGATTGTTGAGCCTGTAAAGATCCAGTCGTCAATAAAGGAGATTGAGGGATTAGAAATAGATCAACTATATGCACTACTAAATGACGATCAATGCTTAGATGACTTTATTGAAGAACTTCAGACTGTAAGAACGTTAAATATTGAACTTGATTCATTAATTGAGAGTAATGAGAAGCAAGCTGTGACTAATTTGCAAAAGGAAGGAGAACTGAATAAGCTGAAAGAATCAATCGAGTCATTATCTTTAGATTTTCTTAATTTAGGCTCAAAATATGAGGCTACGAATAAAAAGTATCACGACAAGTCTCAAGAATACTTGCCAGAGAATATTAGACAGCTTCTAGAAATAGCTGTATCCAATGCAGAGTACCAATGTGAGGAATCTGTTGATGCATTTCTAAATGGCAAGCTGTCATCAAGTCAATTCCTTGAGAACTTTATGGAAATTAAAAAGCTAATTGCAATCAGGAAGTTTAAAGAGGAGCGGTTAAATTTTCAGCTGAACCAACTCAAATTGTGATAATAGATATATAAGGCTATTCCAATGAATGTTATGTCTAAAATGATTCCAGTTTTATACCCGGCATCAAAATTTCGTTAAAACTATTCCATCAATAAAGACCCACCCGATCCATAAAATTTTATTTATTGCACAGTTTCAAATTTTTTATTCTCTTCTCAATTTATCGACTCAATCTTATAGTTTGCTGAGACATAGCCAAGATTAAATTAAAATGCCGATGAGATATACGCATGCAATAGTCTCAAGGTGAGTGAATTAATCTAGTTCTATTAAAATCACCAAACATTCGTGGCTGTTAAGAAAAAATCAATAAAATTTATTCAGTAAAAATATTGATAAATCCAGTTCTGCTGTTTTATAATCTAATAAAATCATTGTCTATACTTTTAGGATCCCATTGTCATTAAGAACGAGAGGAATAGAAATTGATGTAGCGAAAAAAGAATTTGAAGCATACGTGCAACTATTAAGAGAACTCGAACTGGATGTCATCGAAATGCCACAAGATGAGGAACTTCCAGAATCAGTCTTTATTGAAGACACGGCTGTTGTTTGCAATAATATAGCGCTTATGACAAAACCAGGGAACCCAACAAGACTAAAAGAGGTAAGCAGATGGAACGGATGTGAGGAATTGTCTAAAACGGCTAATTTAGTTGATATACACGCCTAAATCGTTTATGATAAAGAACAAGAAGAAATAAATTAGCATAGCGCGAACAAATTTATTTAATATAAATTACTTTGCTTCGCATGCATTGTCATTTAAAATGAAATATATTTTTTTAAAACAAGAAGGTGCTACTATTTCCGAAAAAAAATCAAAATCGCATGATAGAAAATAATTGAATAGACATTGACATGTCATGTCATGGAAAGAGTGTATGATGTAATCTAGTCTAGCGACTAGTTTAATTTATTTACATTCCATTAGCGATGAGCTGCACAGTTATGTATCTTCTCTAAAAATTAATTTGTTGACATAAGGCTGGAGCACATTTTATGAATAATTATTTTGAGGAGTTTGTAGCTTGTTAAGCTTGTTTGAGAGATAATTAATTGAACACGTGTCATATTCTACACTTAACGTATATATTTTGAACTTGCTATAATTTAACGAAATTTCAAATTTAAACTACCTGCTTTCTATAAAATTCCTATAATGTTTAAATTTGAATTTTAAATAACCGTTACAATATTAATTTACAACGGAATTGAATAAAATCAATTTTAAGGCAGGTAACCTCCCAAACCAGACCATAAATCAATCAAAATGAGAATAGTCATGTAATAAATTAAGCAAGCAGTGAAATTAAATGATCATAAATAACTTTATTATCATATTTCGGCTAGTGAAATCTCACTCACGCCACAATACAGGCATTAGTGTGCTCACCATTTTACCAGAAATTTAATTATCCTCTCTATTTGTTTAAAACATTTATCTCATAATCAATATAAATTATTGCCAGACATAAACGAGCAATAAATAAAAACTTTTCAACATTCATTTTAGGTGGAGAACGTGCGTGCTATTTTAAGAAAGGAACTGGATTTGGCACTGTTTGAAATAGCTGATCCAAATGCCAAACTTGAAGGCGGTGATGTTCTTTTTACTGGCAAAGAATTCTTTGTTGGAATTTCGGACTATACAAATGAGGCTGGTGCTCGTGCTGTGGCCAATGCATTTCCAGAATTCCCATGTGTTCCAATTAGGGTAAGATTAATGCCAATTTAATGCTGATTTGGATTCACTTTTAAATATCTTATTAATAACACAATTTTTAATTAAATGTAAAGAGACTCTTTGTGTGTTTTTGTCTATCACGTGTCTAACTTAAATCTACTCTAATTCACCGTTTATTTCTTGGTTTCACTCAAATGTTTTTAACTTATGTAGGTAGATCGATATGAACCGGTGAATGCAATAACTTTGGATTTATTGAATGGACAAATTCAGGTTTCGTTTTCTTTAAATTATGTCCTTAAATCTGAATGCAAACTAAGAATCGGTTTTCTTTTACTTTTTTACTAGACATTTTTTGCATCATCTATCCTTTTTGACATTTATCATAATCGCACCAAAAGCTTTAATGACTTAGAATGCTAAATAGATCAGCTTTAAATAAATAATTAAGGAATTCACGTAAGAAGTGCTTTTTTGAGTTAATAATTAAGTTATTAAGTTCTAAATGGGACCTAAATTGAGTTTCCAAAAAAGCACTTCCAAAAAATTAATTTCACTCTTTTTCTGCACATAAACATCAATGCCAAAATTATCTGAATGCTCCAAAACATTTTCTTATTCTTTCACTTACTAAAATAATTTTTTAATGCTGGCAGAATGACAGATTAATATTTTATTGTCTTAATAAAAATGACATTGATGATCTTTCTGCTTATTTTAGGTGACTGAAAAGCATCATCTCAAATATTATATTTCTATGGCTGGAGAAGATCTACTTTGTGTCTCAAGTTCGTCGCATTCGCAAGAAATATTGAAGAGAATTGAGAGGGAAGCAACTTTCACCTACCAAACCTTGACGCTCACTGAAGAAAATGCTGCCAATGTTTTGTCCATTAATGGAACTTTAGTTCATAGATCTATTGATGAAATTCCTATCTCGTATCAAATTCTATCCGAGAAAGTCGACATGCCAAGACAAGTGCTGAACATGACAGAATTGGGAAAATATTCTACTGGATTAACGTCATGCTGCATTTTGGTAAAACGATCGCGGTACATCAGAAATTTATAAAGTTCAAATTAACAATAATATGACAGTTACTTCCAGTGAATTTCTTCTGCAGCTAATTAAATGTTGTGTATGTATACTACCAAGCAAAGATATTTTACAGAGTAATTTAAGTTAGTTCCACAAATCTCAAGAATTCAATACGTTCCATTTTTATAGCTTATTAATACTTTTCGACTTATCATGGACAAGGGTTGTATCTGTGGATGGCTGATAGGAAAAATTTGTGCTTCCTTACCATTGGATAGCTAGTAGACAGCTTTGGATACACCCTTAATTAGTTTTAACAGTTTAATGATCATCCAATCCATATTGTCCAAATTTTTAATCTAATTTCGCATTTTAGCTCCTATTAAGCAAATGAATCATAGAAATTGGATTCTAAGTACTGACCTATGCGCTAGTTGAACCATTTTTTGGTCAGAAATTTAATAATATCTACAATTGGCCTAAATCTCATCTTGAAATCACGATAAGTTGGACAATATTGGTCAATTCTTTCTAGTCTCTCATGCATCACAATGAATCTCTCTTTTCTCGGCAATTAAAAGTATTTTAATGAATATTTAATTATATAAACTTTATACCTCAAAAAGTGTTTAAGATATTAAAAATTTATAGACGGATACTAATTGATAAACATTTGATAAGCAAAATTAATTTAATTAACTTAGGCAATTAACTACTTTCTAAGATGGATGAAATTTTTTTATCTGCCAAAACTTAAACTGCTTATTTTTCATTCTTAATAATTCCCTTAATTAATTTATCAATACTTTTTTGTTATGATTGTATTTTATATACTTTAATATAGTAAAAGAAAACTACAAGTTCAAATAATCTGTGATGTTATATTGGTTTTAAAAATAAGTTTTCAGAATCCAACGGCTACATTTAATTTGAATTATTTGTTATTTAACGGTTTTCAGTGGAGCTCTCTCCCAATCTCCGAAAAACGATGTTGTGGAATCGCGAATTTCTCCAAATTTTAATTAATTGCGTGTAGGAATCTGTCAAAAAATAGTTTAAAGTGTTCATTAAGAACCAAGAAACAGATAGACAAAGGAGACAACTCAACAAAGTCGCGATTTAATCAAAAATTTGGAGATAAATTAAAATTGAGTGAAAAAGTACAAATTTTTGCACATAACCTAGATTAAATACCACAGACATAATAAACGGAATCTGAATCATCGGCAATTAAAAGGAGATTTTTTCTCACGATGAGTTTTGTGTGTTTTCCCAAAAATTGCACGGAGTTCTTATCAATCATTTGGTGGTGACTGGATTTTCACAAATCTCAACATTGGCAAACTGAATTTATTCATCTTGGAATTTCTCTTTTCGGAATACCACATAACAACTTAACTTACATGAAGAACTGTCGAGGGATCTGGATCATCAACAATTGGAAATAGATTTTTGCCTGACGATGGTTTTTTGTTGTTTTGACTATTCGTCAGGCATGTTTTCTGTCAACCTTTTGACGTTGACTGGATTTTTTTTTTAATAGTCACTTTATGTATATTTATAATTGAAACAAAATGGAACTGTTGACGGTCTTTAAAAAGCGATTCGCTGATGGTCCTTAATAAAACTAATTAAGAAGAAGAAAGAAAGGGTTTCGGGTTTTCTCCCAACCTCCGAATGAGGAGGTTGTGGAATTGTGCAATACTTCAAAATTAATTAATTACGCGTAAGAATAGGTCACAAACCTACGGGAACTGTCTTCAAAGTAACACAGAACAAAAATACCAAGGAGAAAACTCAGCAAAGTCGCGATTTAATTAAATTTTGGATATAAATTGAAATTGGAAAAAAATGTGCAAATTTTGCACATAACCTAGATAAAACGGAATTGATCATCATCGGAATACCAAAGAACATTTAATTACATTGACAAATCACGATCGGCGGCAGTTGTGAGGAGAATCAATTGTTTCACTTGGGTTTTTTGTGTTTTACCAACAATCGTGGACAAGAAGGTTCTATCATAACCATAACCTAGACATTGAATTTTATTGGAATACAACGGATTATCGGCAGTTGTGAGGAGAATTTGTCTCGCGATGGGTTTTGTGTGTTTCCCTATATATAGCGGACAAGTTCTATCAATCAATTGGTGCTGACTGGATTTCAACAAATCAACATTGACAAACAGGAATCGATCATCTCGGAATACAGCAGAATAAATCAATTACATTGACAGATCACAATCGAGACATAACAAAAATTTGAATCTATTTGGAATATCACAAGTTGAATTACAAGAAGGACTGTCAAGGGATCTGGATCATCGACAACTGAAGATGGAATTTTTTGCCTAGCGATGGTTTTTTGTTGTTTTGACTTATCGCGGGCATGTTTTCTGTCAACCATTTGGAGTTGACTGGATTTTATTGATTGTTCTTTGTGTATATTTGTAAATTAAACTACCTGGAATTGTGAACGGCAGAGTTGCGACGACAGGTACCTGTCACAGGTAAAGGTGACAGTTTCTGTCAAAAGATCACCTGTCACAGGCCGTTACCTGTTCACAGGTCAAATTTTTTCGCCTATCACAGGTCTGACCTGTCAAAGGTTCTACCTGTCACAGGTCGTTACCTGTTCACAGGTCAATTTTTTTCGCCTGTCACAGGTCTGACCTGTCAAAGGTTCTGCCTGTCACAGGTCGTTACCTGTTCACAGGTCAATTTTTTTCGCCTGTCACAGGTCTGACCTGTCAAAGGTTCTGCCTGTCACAGGACGTTACCTGTTCACAGGTCAATTTTTTCCACCTGTCACAGCTCTGACCTGTCGCAGGCCTCACCTGTGACAGGTCGTCACCTGTTGACAGGTAGAAAAAATCTACCTGTCACAGCTTGACCTGTCACCTGTCACCTGTCACCTTTGACTATCGAAATTTTTTTCTTCTAGTGAAGTATAAAGATTTCATACAAAATTCATCAATTTTTTTGCTTCCTCAAGTCACGAGTTCAAATCTCACCGCAAGCAACTTTCTTTTTTTGCATTTTTATGATTTGTTTTTAAACTTTTTTGATAAAACATTAAGTTTTATGACAAATTTTTCCATTTTCATATTTTATTTCTTCACTTTCTATATTTTAACATGTATTTTAAATTTTTTCCATATATTTTCATACAAATTCAACTTTTTTTGTCATACTTTAGTTTACCAAGCAGAAATCTGACACAAAGGCTCTTTTCCTAGATCTAGATGTTCTGAAATCGTAATCTTGGATTATAATTTTTTATATATTTCGACTTTTTGCGGTCTCGAATGACAAAGTCTATACTAGTTTTAATATTTTATGCCATTTTATGATCCAAGATTATGATTTTAGAACATCCAGATCTAGGAAAAGAGCCTTTGTATCAGATTTCAGCTTGTTAAAATAAAATATGTATAAAATATTGATAAAATATGACAAAAAAATTTAAATTTGTATGAAAATATATGGAAAAAATTTAAAATACATGTTAAAATATAGAAAGTGAAGAAATAAAATATGAAAATGGAAAACTTTGTCATAAAACTTAATATTTTATCAAAAAAGTTTAAAAACAAATCATAAAAATGCAAAAAAAGAAAGTTGCTTGCGAAGAGATTTGAACCCGTGACTTGAGGAAGAAAAAAAATTGATGATTTTTGTATGAAATCTTTATACTTCACTAGAAGAAAAAAATTTCGATAGTCAAAGGTGACAGGTGACAGGTGACAGGTCAGAGCTGTGACAGGTGGAAAAAATTGACCTGTGAACAGGTAACGACCTGTGACAGGCAGAACCTTTGACAGGTCAGACCTGTGACAGGCGAAAAAATTTGACCTGTGAACAGGTAACGGCCTGTGACAGGTAGAACCTTTGACAGGTCAGACCTGTGATAGGCGAAAAAATTTGACCTGTGAACAGGTAACGGCCTGTGACAGGTGGGCTGTTTTTGTTGACCTGTGACAGATCGCAACTCTGGTGAACGGTCTTTAAATAGCAATAAGCTGATGGACTATAATAAAGTTAATTAAGAAGAAGAAGAAGAAGAAAGGGTTTCAGTTTTTAAAACCATACAAATACAAATTGAATTCAAACTGTTGTATGGTTTTCAAACATTTGAATTACAAAAAAACGTTAAACTTGACTGGAAATATAATTTATTGATTTAGTTAAATTAAATCAACACCAAGTTTTAAGTCAGTGAATATGAAAAATAATTTATTTAAATATCTACAAGGAATAATTTGTCTAAATCTTTTCTTCAGCAAGCTTCTATTTATACTTATAAGCTGTCACAGTTCGTCCATTTGTATCTTGAAGTGGTCTATAATTATGTATAATCCTCCTACCTTTATCATTTCTTAATTTTCTAAGTTCAACCAATTCATTTTGTTTAATTACAATTGGTCTTGTTGACAGCATCCATAATACATTTTCTGAGCAATTTGGTGTCGTTAAACTTCCTCTATAGCTCAATAGTCCTCGGAAGTCTACATCTTTGATGATGTCGCGAATCGGAAATACCCAGTTTGTTTCTGTATAAGTGCTGTGAGCCTTAATCACTTTTGTGATAAATTTTACCCAAGGATTATCCTTTCCAGTATACAGCTTATCATACTTAAGATTCAAATAGAAATGACGTAAAATTTCTTGCTCCTTTCATAATATTTACTGTGGCAACTTACCTCATAAAGGATTCCCAAGACAGCTAAACCCATTGGATCTTGTGAAGCCATTTCAAATGTTTCTAAAAAGATGAAAATTTTGGAATTTTAAACTGACCAGATTTTTAATTAATTTTAATGAATATAAGCTTGATAATCAGCTCAAAAACTATCCCTGATCATGAAAACTATTCAAATTGCATGACTAGATGACTATCTTACCAAAAATAGAATTATAAGTCACCATATGCAATTCAGCTGCGTATCTTTGGTCATTAATCACATGCTCACTTCCACTAGTGTTTGAACCCCAATGAAAATGAATGTTGTCGAGGATGAAAGGATTCTTTAGCGGACCTCCAGAAATATTTATTTTTTGGTCATTTTGATACTTAAAAGAAAGCTTTAGTGAATGTCCATTGTTCTCGACTTTCATAGATTGTGGAACTAGATCGACTCCATCAATAATTAATTCTTGAGCATTTTCTCGAACTGCGACAAATCCAGTGTCTATAGCAATTGGACTTTGATTTCTTCCACCGCACTGTGCATTAATATCCTTCCATCTTGGTGGTCCATAGCGATCATTCTCATTGTATGAAAATTCCAGTTGACTTTCTTCATCGCGCGTTTTATTTCTATTGATGAAAATGTCACGATTATTGTAACTTGTTGCTGTTTTAAGTTTCTGCTGTGTCTTGATCTCATTAAATAATTTGTGAAAAGCATCTTCAGCTACAATTTCGTTGCTTCTACTTTCAAACTTTTTATACTTTTGTGGATAGTGATATCCTTGATGAGATCCACGAAAATGGTTGGAATAAGATGACGCTAAGTAGGAATAAAAGAATTTAAAAAAGGCGGTACAGCAATTGAAGTTTGTGCTTTTCATCACACGAAGTGAATAAAAAATGAAAGTTTTAAAGTAATGAAACTTTTTTATTCGTGACTTTTGAAATGACAATAAGTTTAACGATGCACTTTTACATCCAATAATTAAAAGCTAATATTTATTTATTTTTTTGAATTTTGAGGACGAGGATTAATTAAAACAATTGCACGTTCCCACATCGCTAACGAGTCAAATAAAATTAATAAGAAATTCACGATATTTTTCGTTGGACGTGCGACCAGAAACAAATAATAAAGGTTAGCATGTCGTAAATTTTTCTAAGATATTTATGTGGATATATTGGATTAATAACCTTCGATGCTTGAAATTAACTGAAGATGGTCATTTTTGGTACCCAGAGAGTTATAAGTACCTTCTTCTTAGCTATTGTCTTTAATGGCTGTAATAACATTAAATTTCAAACTTAATGCTTATAGAACAGGAGTTCTCAAACTATGTGCCGCAGCACACTAGTGCTAAAATTGGCCACATATTTTCATGTTTTATGTCTTCAAAAAGGTTATGAAAATCTTTTAATGTGCCGCGAACATTTTGAGTAGACAAATGTGCCGTGTACCGATAAAAGAGAAGCACAGCCATAAATGCTAATGTGACGATACATCCTCGAGATGAAGTCTGTGCTGGAATCAAGGATGTTTGACACTTTAGAATAGAAATCTTTTGAAGGCACCTAGGAACTTGTGACTACACTAAACATTGATAAATCCACTAGTAGTTTTGTGTATATCTATTTGAAACATTTTTAATATTCTTTATTCTCCATTGTTGGGAAATAATTGCCAATTTAATTTTCCTCGACAAACGACACAAACTTAACTTGCCATTTCACTTATTTTCTTTGCACTGCTCAAAAAACTTCTCGAGAATGAAAATTTAAATAATTTTTTTCTTACCTTCTTCAAGGCTTCCAGAATCGATATTTATTGAAATAATTGCAAATGTAAACAGGATCGTGATTGCACTTAAACGCCTCATTTTTAATGACTGGAATGATTGCAAATTTTATAAATCAGTTCAATAAAATTTCAATTCAGTTCTTTGCTCTCTTTAGTCACGCTCTAATGAAGGTACGAAATTCAAATTCAAGGGAATTGATCCAAAAGAAGTTGAGTGCCTTCAATGGTTCTGTAAGTTTTAGATCAAGTACTGCCAACAGACCGTAGAAAATATTTTTAATCAAAAAAAAAATAATAATAATTTTGAGCAGTTTATAGCCACAAAGAACCTCTCGTAGACTAAACTTTTAATTTCTAATTTTTAAATTCATAAACTTTTTGCGTGCAGCTAGTGCTCATCATTCATTTCACAATTTTTTTACTACAACTACTTGCACTTTTATGTCTAAATGCAACAAAATAAACAATTTCAAGACTCACGTGTTGACAGAAATGAAGCTACACAAATAAAAAAACCTTTTTTTTTCGGATTTTTAATGGAATTAATAACAACAATTAATTGTTACAATTTTCACGCTAGGCAAGTATGTACTGAGCGTCAACTATTGGCATCTCGTAATGAAATTATTTGCATTCAAGATTATTATTTTATATATATGTAGATAGTGCCGGCAATATCAGAGATGATTAATTTATAGTTGCTTATAATTCTCAACATTGTGCACAGACAAGCAGTCAGACATGGACTTAAATTTTATTAAACTGAAAATTCATTTAGGTGTCATTCAATTATAATGTCGTATGGATGGGCATAGCGATGATCAATCTAATCCATGAATCGTACGCTGTTTGCCGTATCGATCTTGGACTCTCAATAAGATTTGGATAACACTGATCTAATCGATCACTGAACATACTTGGTACTATTAAAAATACAGAGCATATATGCTTAATATCTATCCAAAATTTATATTTGTTAAAGAAAGGGGTCGTTCACTTATGACGTCCGAAATTAACGGTCATTTTTCAAAAAAGAACAATTGATTTTCAGGAATACGTGAACGATCCCTTAATCCCTTACTGCAGGGGCGTAGCCAGGGGGGGCCATAGGGGGCCCGGGCCCCCCTACGAAAATCTGATAATTGTATCATTGTGAAGAATGAATATAGATTTAAGGAAACAAAATAACGGTTTTTTTAATTTTCGAAAATGGGCCCCCCCCTTAAAAAATTTCTGGCTACGCCCCTGCCTTACTGCACTTTTTATTAATTTTTTCATAGAAATTTTAATCCACAAAAGTACTTTTAATGTAAAATTAAGCACTAAACTATTTACTAAGACAGAAAAAAAATATAAAGCACCACCAAGAACTTAAGAAGCACAACAATGAATGGTTCGAAGAATGTTAAGTAATTTATGGGTTTTGTCAATTCCCCCACATTAGCAATTTTCATGCTCAATGAATTGCTGATTTAGGTATGAATTTACGCTTGAGCATATCAAAAATTTGTTTGTTTTTTCGCACTCTTTATTAATTAATGCAAATCATGAGCCACTGATTGATAAAGCTGGAATAATTCAAGTAAAATAAAAATTCTACTAAATGAAAGTAAAGGCGCAGTAGAGCTTTATTACTAAATTCAGATTTGACGTCTACTGTAATTAATTTTGATAATTTTTTGATCATTTCATCAGTTCCGCACCCTTGTGCTAGAATTGAAGAAAAGAAATAGAATTAGAATATTATGTGTTTAAACAACCTAGTCTGGCCAGTGATGCCGTTTGAAAATAATTGTTTGAGAATTCCGAGGCTCGAAAATCATAAATCAATTTTCATTTCTTGAATGAGTTAAATAGGGTCGTTTATAAATTACGTTTGTCAAATAATCTGTTTTTTATGATTCTTCGTTTTGTCTCTAAATGTTTTTTAACACAACAATTTTACTTTAACAAACAGTTTCAGATATCTAACCCGAAAAAGGGTTGTTCATAAATAATGTGCGACTTTTCACTTCCATCCCATTTAAAACAAAATATGTTTTCAAAATTTTATTACAAAGGTTTAAAAAAATTAAATCTTTTGTTGGACGTTATTTATCAACGACCCCAAATGAGGATGGTCGAAACTTAGCGCATTAACTCTTCTATTCGCCATTACAAGAATTACTTCCCAGTTCTACTTTTCACTGATTAAAAATTATATTTTAATCAAAGGAGACACGCAAACCGCAATTTATAGATAACAGAATCGGTTCCATAATGCGCTTCAATTATTCACACATTAAGCTTCATATCATATGGTGCCGTTTACTTATAACGTCGGACATTTAGGGGGGGAGGGGGGTCTAGGATTTTGTGACAGTTCAAACAATGAAATTTTTTTTCTGTGGAATTTTTGTGACAGAGGGGGGGGGGGGGGGGGGTAGGTAAAATAAAATAAAAAAAACTGCATTTCCGAGAGCATTTTTATATTCACACCGTTTTCACGTGTGAATCTATTGGTTTTGTTCAGATTGAAAAATCAGTTTTTCGCATTTTGTGAGAAAACAAAGCAAAATTGGTTATAAAAGTCCAAGAAGAAAAGTTTGTGCCTGAAATTTTACATCATTTTCAAAAAACAGATTTCAAATTGGTTGTGGCATTGATGAGAAAATCGCAAAATACGCTTTCTGTAAGCAAACAAGCAAGCAAGCAAGCAAGCAAGTTAATCAGCAAGAAATCTCAATAACGAGACATCGTAGAGACTTCTAGTTTTTTACATTTGATCCGTGCTGCTCTATTGTTTTTGGGCAAGGTAGGAACAGCCGTTGCTTCAGAAAAAGCAAAAAACTTTCCTTTCTTACGAATTTTTAAAAGCAAAAGTTGACTGTGATTTTATAAAATTCAACTTTGGATGAAAATTTTTTTTAAAAAACTTTTAAAGAATATTTGGCATATTCGTCAAGCTTTATACCTTCAAACTTATGCTGAGCGTAGCTCAGCTGACTCGATAGCTTTATATCTTCAAACTTATGCTGAGCGTAGCTCAGCTTACGCGATAGCTTTATAACTTCAACTTATGCTGAGCGAAGCTCCACTGCCTCTCTAGCTTCATATCTTCAAACTTATGCTGAGCGTAGCTCAGCTGACACTCTAGCTTTATATCTTCAAACTTATGCTGAGCGTAGCTCAGCTTACGCGATAGCTTTATAACTTCAACTTATGCTGAGCGAAGCTCCACTGCCTCTCTAGCTTCATATCTTCAAACTTATGCTGAGCATAGCTCAGCTTACGCGATAGCTTTATAACTTTTCAAACTTATGCTGAGCGTAGCTCAGCTGACACTCTAGCTTTATATCTTCAAACGTATGCTGAGCGTAGCTCAGTTTACGCGATAGCTTTATAACTTCAAACTTATGCTGAGCGAAGCTCAGCTGCCTCTCTAGCTTCATATCTTCAAACTTATGCTGAGAGTAGCTCAGCTTACGCGATAGCTTTATAACTTCAAACTTATGCTGAGCGAAGCTCAGCTGCCACTCTAGCTTCATATCTTCAAACTTATGCTGAGCGTAGCTCAGCTTACGCGATAGCTTTATAACTTCAAACTTATGCTGAGCGAAGCTTAGTTGACTTATCAAGCTTCATACCTTCATACTTATGATGGGCAAATCTTGGTCTATCCATAAGACTTATGATAGTACGGTGTGAATATAATCCGCATTGGGTTTCTACCCGATACACTAGTTTTTTCATAAATTAATAAATCGAATTCTTGTAAATTAATGTTTTTATTAATTTAACATTGAAGGCTTTATTTTCATAATCAAAGCTGCAACACTGGGAATTTTCTGTTTTCAATTCATCAGAGACTTCATCAGAAAATCTCATTAAAATAGTAAATCGAAAATAAGGGGTTGATCACTTATGAGGTCTGATATTTTGGGGAAAGGGTGTTCTAGGATTGTGTGACACATTGGGTTCAGGGGAGGGCGTTATCAGACATCCAAATTCGCAAAAAGGAAATCATAATTTTCGTAATCTTTGATTGGACGTCACAAAGAGGGGGGGGGGGGGGGGGGTGTCTAAAATCATGTTTTTGAGGCTGAATGGTGAATGACCCCTTATGATATCAAATATAATGTTGGTTTGAAGAAATTCTGAGGAAGTTCGAAACTTTCTTTGGAAATTTAATTTTGAATTCGTGTAAAAAAATTCAAAAGCGGCTCCTTGCTATCAACAAAATTTTGTAATTGAACGATCTAACCCCCTTTCCCATGTACATCAGTCTGTGACACTAGATGCAGGAGGAATGAACGATTTCTCATAAATACTTTATAGGAACTCCATTTAATGTTGACCGTGGAAATTAAATTGAACATTACTGTCGGAATAAATTACTCACCAGGAAAATGCAACATCAGGAATTAATCATATGGAAGGATTTAATTTATCCGTATTTAAAATTTGCATCATAAACACAAAAAAAAGCAACGTCGCTTTATTTGCAGTCAGCATTCATCGATTTACAAAGCATTGATCCGACTGTGGTGAATGGAAAGACGAGAACGGAAAGTGTGTTATCTGTGTGAGCACGTGCTGTGCATTAAAAGTACGTTAATCTTTATAGTCTTTGGGTAGGTCAGTTCCTCACAAATAACTTTACATTAGTACGATTTTTTCTTGCTTTATTTCATAAATTTGTTATTTAAGACTGCCCATTAATTATGATATCTTGTAATCCAGGCTTCTGATTCTTTCCATGAATGTTTAAAAAAATTGAGAACATACAAAACGTCATAAAACAAGATTCAATGGAAGAAATAACTTCTCGTAGCCTACTTAATGCCGATGACACATATTTTCATTCTTGCATGCTCCATATTCTACACCAGTTTCATTTTCTGCAGTCGTCTGTGACATAAATGAACAGCATATGGAATAGAATGTTAACATTCATTTGGAATTTAATGTTGAACTATTTACGTACTTGAAAAACTTCTTCACTTTCGAAATCTGGAGAGATTTCTGTGTAAATTCGCTTGTAAGTAAATACAGTGCGCATCATGATTATAATGAGGATCTAAGGTGGAAAGTGAATAAACAGAATTAAAAGTTTAATAACTTAATCTTGAGCTATAATTTTTAATCTTTTTTAAGTCGTGGGAAGTTCAGAAGTCAGTCAGCTACTGTAAGCTTCTGAATAATACAGAAGGGTACGTTCCATTCATGACATTGCGTGTTTTAGACTGTCTTTAAATCAATAAGTTTACATAAAGTACATCCTCTAGCTATTTATCAAACTTACCATAATAATTGCTATAACAACGTTCATTGACACAGTAATCGAAATCAGCATCTCAATCATCTCCGAAATGATATAAAAACATCCTTTAATGTAAATATTCTCATCATTTAAATTCGCTTTCAAAGGAATATTCCCTTTGGCACAGCTGAAAGGCAGCCACGAAGAAATTCTCGTCTCGTCTCTTGGAAATTTAATTTTCATCCAGTCTGTATGATTGTGAACGCCACAGCATTTGTAGTCATACTGAAGGTCATCCCATATCAATACCCAGTGAGGATCTTGTGGATATAATTCAAGTCCCTTGATGAGAGATGCTTCAAAATTTGCAGTGACATAATTCATCGTATCAACAAAGAGCCATGTCGTGAACAGACATCCTATGGCACTTTCGATTGTCAAAAATATCCACAACTTGATGAGAACACCCAAATGTCTTGTATAAACATCATCGAATAATAAAATGACAGCAAATCCACAGCAGTAGCAAATTGATATGTGTAGTCCATAAAGTTTGATGATAAAAATTACACTTTGCACTTCGTGCTTGTCAATTTGAAAGAAGTGACTTTGGATGAATAATTTGACATACTCGCAAATTAGAGCTATTGATATGCCTGCCAGGATTTCAAGGATGAACAAAAAGATTAGGGTCCTGAATAAGCAGTTGTATGATCTTTCAGACTTCATCTTATTATTTTATTTTTCTTAAATTTTAAAAATATTCTACATTGATTGCTGTGAGTTTAAATCTTTACACATGTTTTCTAATTTAATTTTTATAGCTGTTGCTGAAAGTGTAAGTAGTCGATTAACAGTTGTTTTCTTTAAATTAAGTACTTTATTTAATTAATTGCCATTTAAATGCTCGTTAGCACTAATTTGTTTTACAGTTTAATTGAAGAAATATTTTTCGTGGATAATTGAATTTGTGAGTCATTCGCTATTTAAGTCATGCTATAAAACAATTATTAAGTTTGCTAGGGTTTTTAACAAGGGGGGGGGGGGGGGGGTGCTCCAAAAAGTCATATATTTGTGTAACGTCACATTTGTCAAATTTGTCACACATGTCATGATCCCGATTCCCCCTTTAATCACGAACGTCATTTATGAACGATGCCTTCATTTAAACTTCATAATGTTAAGTAATATAAAAGTATTGCTAGTCAAAAATGAACAAACACAACATGATTGGGACTTCATAATGCTCAGGCTATAAACTCAGCAACTTTTTGGTTTTGACAATTTGAGTCACTGTCTACCAGTGGCTACAAGTCAACGACAGAGAACATTTAGAAGTCTTGATTGTTTGTTTGTGCATTTTCAAGTAACTGATTGTTTAGTTCTTAATAAATAATAAATAGCCTTTGATAATCTCAAACTCCTTCTTTTGTAATCTTCTAGAATTGACCAATAAATTGAAGAATTAAGTCTTAAAATGAAATGACATTGTCAGTTGATAACTTTATGAATCCAGACTTCTCACAAATGGTTCAGCCTTCTTTTGATACTCAATATCCTCATGAACATTTTCCTGAATTCTCTTGTCTGGCCAAAATGGTGTTGGAATGTGATTGAGTAAGAATGGTGCACTTTGTCCATAAGATTTTGAGTATCCAGTTCCAGAATGAGTTTTTAATGCTCCAAGAAGGAAGAGCATTATTGCAAGCTTTCCAGCAAACAGAGACTTCATTAATAGTAATTTAATTTTGGCAACCATGAATGGTAAAACTGCTGACTGGATGAGGAACGGAAGAATGAATAGCGGAAGAAACTTGCTAAGACCTGATTTTTTATCTCCACGACCTGTTAGAGGAATAGAATGGAAATTTATTTAAGTTGAAAGAAGTCAAATTTAATTTAATTAAATATTTGCTGATCATCAATATTTTTAAGCATGCAAACTTCACAAACCCCTCACTTGCAATGCTCTTGGATATGGAATCAAAAGAATTTAATACTATGGATTGAGAAAGAATTCCAACCAGCTCATGTCTGTATGTCGTTGATACAGCAACCGAGCGTACAGCGTTCTTTAAACAGCAGCTGACTGTCAACTTATTAACATGTGCTGATCGGGAGTAGCAATCAATGTTTTTGAGCACATTTTGTTACTAATCGGTTCAATGAACTTAAGCTGAAGTTAGTATCTTCTATCAGTAGGTTTATGATAGGAATTTCAAGCCTAGTGATTTGAATTCTAATTTATTTAAGATCTGCATGCACGAGTTAATCCTCAGTCATCATAGATTGATTGCACAAGAAGAATCAAAACACTAAAATCTAAAAGAAATCAATCTTTGCCAACATAAAGCTACCTGTAAATATTTCTTGCAGAGCACGATGATCTAAATTCACATTCACTGTGTCATCTTCAGAATCAACTGTAACATTCAACAGTTGACCAACTTTAAAGAGCGTTGAATTCTGATTTTCTGTTACTTCAATTTCCTCATTGATTATTTCTTCTTCATCATCATGAGAATCTTTTTCATCGGCAATGTTCAAATTTTGCTGAGCTTCTTCTTTTAGCGGTTCTTCGTCTGAATTTTTGAAATCAAATGAACCGAAATCATTGGAAATTTTTCTCACGTCTTTAACTTTGCTGAGTTCAGCTACGTATTTTTCAGGCATCTTAATTCGACTGCTAATTTTCTTAGGTAATGTCTCAGCTGATGGTGATGGAGATGTTGAACTTTCTGTTGTTTTCAAGTGCCTTCCTTTATTTCCGAAAATTTCTTCATCTTCAAATGGTGTAAATTTGGGTACATCAGCTTCAAAGTTTGCAGGTTTTAATGCTTTTTGGACTCTACAATTTGCATTAAGAATTGATAGAAAAACTAAAATCAGCAGCTTCCAACTAAACATTTTTAATTCTTCAGACTAAACTTTTTTACGATCCACTCAGCTCAACGATTAACTCAAAACTGACTGCAAATTAAATTCTAAGCAGTGGCAATAAAGCAGTAAAAGAATGAAAGTAGAAAATGAGAAAGAAAAATGTTGTTATGGTTTTTGCGAGCATTTTCAGATTTTGATGTCCACATTCTGTTGGATCTAATCGCACAATTCAACCGTTACGATTGAAAACCGTTTCATTTTTACTTTTTATTCAGCATGAATGTTTATGTCTGTTCTACATATTTCTCGTATCAAGTTAAAATAATTACCATTATTGTACACATTGAGAGATAAATACTAGAAATTAGGTATTTAAGTGATCTAATTGTGGCAAACTTAATGAGAGCTGTGTGCATATTTGCTGTGATTTTGAATTGTTTATTTTGCATTTTCGGATTTATGGAAAATTTGATGTGGAGGATATTTTGAAGCAATTAGCAGAGAATTTTGTTACCGTGACTCTAAATGGCTCAGTCGGTTAATTGAATAGAAATCCAGGCTTCGATTTAAATCCAGCATCATGTCAGAGTCACACCAACTTGGTATCAGATTTCTGATTAATTAACCGACTTGTGCTACTCGGGAAACTTCATGACACTTTTAAAGGTTTTGGGTGACATAGAGTGCGATCGTGGAGCATTTTATTAAGGATTGTCCAGGATTGTGAGATGTTTTACACATTTATGAATAAACTAGCAGTTAAGCGCCCTTGAAAATGGTCAATTTCATTTTTGAGTAATTCACTGTGAAACAACTTTTTAAATTCTTGAATTTATAAGTCATGACTTACAGATATGAGTAAAGGCGATTGTCTTATCGTTGATTAGTAAATACTGAGGGTCCTTGATTTGAGTAATTGTTTTGTTCCAAAAAATCGAGGACCAATAGTATATTTATGGTTTTAAATCAAAAGGTTGTGTCTTGAACCAAAAACAAACATCTGGTGAGTCTAAAGCTAAGTATAGCACGATCCAATAGCATCTAGATACTGTTCACAGCAAAAAATCTATTTGGATGAAAATAAGGTGGAACTGATTGAATAGAAATTTAAATTGAGACAGAAAAAAGGAATCCTAGAAATGTCTAGAAAATATTTGGGGCCGTTCACTTATGACGTCCGACATTTAGGGGGGGGGGGGGGGGAGGGGGGTCTAGGATTTTGTGACAGTTCAAACAATGGAAATTTTTTATATTCACACCGTTTTCACGTGTGAATCTATTGGTTTTGTTCAGATTGAAAAATCAGTTTTTCGCATTTTGTGAGAAAACAAAGCAAAATTGGTTATAAAAGGTCACAGAAGAAAAGTTTTTGCCTGAAATTTTACATCATTTTCAAAAAACAGATTTCAAATTGGTTGTGGTATTGCTGAGAAAATCGCAAAATATGCTTTCTGTAAGCAAGCAAACAAGCAAACAAGCAAACAAGCAAGTTAATCAGCAAGAAATCTCAATAACGAGACATTGTAGAGACTTCTAGTTTTTTACATTTGATCCGTGCTGCTCTATAGAAGAGCTGTATTGTTTTTCGGCAAGGTAGAAACAGCCGTTGCTTCAGAAAAAGCAAAAAACTTTCCTTTCTTACGAATTTTTCAAATTAAAAGTTCACTGTGATTTTTTTTAGATTAAACTTTGGATGAAAAAAATTTTTTTGAGCAAAGAACCAAGAAGGAATTACATTTTCAATTTTGGACTAGGGGCGACCCTAGTCAAAATCAATTTTGTCACTTTTTTCTTCGAAGGTTTATACAAATGGATTGAAACTTTGCATAAATATTCTAGTGCTTAAAACAAATACAAATAAAACATCCTAAAATTTTTTTGAGCAAAGAACCAAGTAGGAAATTCATTTTCAATTTTGGACTAGGGGCGACCCTAGTCAAAATCAATTTTTTCACTTTCTTTCTTCGAGGGTTTATACAAATGGATTGAAACTTTGCATGAATATTCTAGTGCTTTAAACAAATACAAATAAAACATCTCAAAATGTTTTTGAGCAAAGAACCAAGAAGGAAATACATTTTCAATTTTGGACTAGGGGCGACCCTAGTCAAAATCAATTTTGTCACTTTTTTCTTCGAGGGTTTATCCAAATGGATTGAAACTTTGCATAACTATTCTAGTGCTTAAAACAAATATAAATAAAACATCCTAAAATTTTTTAAACCAAAGAACCAAGCAGGAAATACATTTTCAATTTTGGACTAGGGGCGACCCTAGTCAAAATCAATTTTGTCACTTTTTTCTTCGAGGGTTTATCCAAATGGATTGAAACTTTGCATAACTATTCTAGTGCTTAAAACAAATACAAATAAAACATCCTGAAATTTTTTGAGCAAAGAACCAAGTAGGAAATACATTTTCAATTTTGGATTAGGGGCGACCCTAGTCAAAATCAATTTTTTCACTTTCTTTCTTCGAGGGTTTATACAAATGGATTGAAACTTTGCATGAATATTCTAGTGCTTTAAACAAATACAAATAAAACATCTTAAAATGTTTTTGAGCAAAGAACCAAGAAGGAAATACATTTTCAATTTTGGATTAGTGGCGACCCTAGTCAAAATCAATTTTTTCACTTTTTTTCTTCGAGGGTTTATCCAATTACAGTGAAACTTTGTGTGAATATACTAATATTTATACAAAACAGTTTTAAATATCTAAAGCAAGAAATGTATTCTATATGTCGTCAGACCCAAATTTTATAAATTTGGATCTACAAATAAAAACAACGTGACTTAAAATTTTGTCCAAAAAAATGATTTTTATTAATTCAGAAATGTGTGACCTGAAGATTAAAATGCTCACACAAAGTTTTACTGTATTTGGATTTATCCTCGAAGAAAAAAGTGAAAAAATTTATTTTGACTAGGGTCGCCCCTATTCCAAAATTGAAAATTGATTTTCTATGGTGTACTTTTGTCAAAAAAATTTTTTGGATGTTTTATTTGAATTGACATAATTCTGACATAAATCACATACCAATATTACTTTTTGTAATGCATAGCTTAAAAAAACGAAATCTAAAATTTCGACTACCCCATCTGAATTTTGTTCATACTCTTCACTGTGGTAACCAAAAAACAAATTCTTTATCTTAAAACACTTGAAAAAATAGCGACATAATTCAGGATTAATTACTTTTTAATAATATTTTAACATTTACGAGAAAATGTGGTTCAAATAAGTGTGAAGTATGGCCGAGATTTGGACCAAAATCAGCTATACTGGTTCATAGTGTTCCCAAGGGTGACAAATTTCAATCTTGGTCTATCCATAAGACTTTTGATGGTACGGTGTGAATATATCCACATTGGGTTTCTACCCGATACACTAGTTTCCATAGAATTTTTGTGACAGAGGGGGGGGGGGGGGGGGGGGGGGAGAAGGGTCAAAAAATCAGGTTTTTCAATGGACGTCATAAGCGAACGATCCCTTTGCAAATCTACTAATTTATAGACGTCATTTCTTGAACAATTGGTTATTATCTTGTCAATTTTAGTGATATCGTTATCAATAAGCAAAGCTTACATTTTTTAAAACTTATTCTATTTCTACTTGACAAATTCATAAAGTTTAAATTTTTCTCACACGAAAATTGACATTTGTAAAACAATTACACTTCATCGACTCATCACGAAACAATTAGCATGACTCAATAAATATAAAAAATAATTTTTACTATTTTTGTTAAAGCAGTTTGTTTCCAGCTGTGTGGAATTGTATTTTGGCTAAATTCTTAATATTTTTCAGGAAGCTTAATATATTCAATATTAACAATTTACTTTAAGTTTTTAGTAGAATACATATAAATTTTTAAAATTTATAAGTAAGACACCAGCAAGTGTGTGAAACTGATTAATTATGTATGTTCTGATTATTTTTGATCATTTTGATCTGTTTATTAACGAAATGTTCTCAAATTTTCGAATTAATTAATCAGTTCATGAATCTTCAATCTTCAAATCTTCAAAAAAAAATCGTTCTTGTCTGTTGAAATCTTCATCAAAGTGAGAAACATCCCGCATTAAGTCTGTATACTTTTTTTCAAAAATGTGGTTCAAGGTTAGCATTCTTTCAAGTTTAAAAGGAATTTTTTTATGATAAAAATCTCTTCATTCAAAGACTTTTCGAATCGATTTGTAAGACAAGGAATCCTATGACCTCAACATAAAATAATTCAATAAACTTCACATCTACGTGTTAAAAAGTTTCATCTTACATTTCTTTAAATCTCCACTTTAATCTCGTTTACAAATTTCCTACTTTTTTTTCTCGTTTCTCGTAAACGATCTCAATAAAAATTACCTAAAAAATTGAATGCAAGTATGGAAGGACAGACAACGGTGCCTCTTGAAATGTAATTTATTTTATGATATAACATCCATTCTATGGAGCATAAAGAAGCCCATTTATCGTATATGTATGTTAAGAACAGAATGAGATAAAAAGGTACACATCACATTTATTGTATCCATTCGTACATCCATCTATCTATGTGTATTTATCTATGAACCTCAATGGGTTTCTCTTAATTTTTTTTCGTTGAGACGGGAGAACAAAAACGGATGTTGATGGCCTAAATGGCACCTATTGCTGGCTATTAATCGAATTTTTTATTGTTCTTAAAAGGGATACTTAATACTTGTTTTTTAAATGCATTTAATGTGGATAAATTCTTAGTGGCTACGAGCAATAAAAATAAAATTATTGTGTCTGCGTTTTGTCTATTTGATTGATCAGGTGGGTCATTTGGTGTGACTCATGTGGAGTGAAAGTTTAATGGCTTTAAGATTTATAGCTTGAATTTTAGGTATTTTTTAAGGCATTTTTGCATCGCTTGATTTTTATTTTTAATATAGCTAAGACAGTTAAGGTTCCCAGCAAGGCATGAAAACATCCCAGCACTTCCTAAATTTCTCAATTATTCATCAACTGAAGTAGGGATTCGAGTGGGATTTCTAGTTTGA